GTGAAGATGATCTTCCCTTCCCACCTTTGCCTTTCTTGTTGTTCTTGTCGGCATGAGACTTCGGAGAAGGTGTAGGAAGTACCGATGCAGCTTCACTCTTCGCTTTCGCCTTAGGACGTTTGGGAGGATCACCTGTAGACGATGCAGCTGCTTCGTTCTCCTTCTTGGTTTTGACGGGAGCGGCAGGCTTGTCTGCATCTTCTAAGGCAGGTGTCGTCTTGTTAGAGGACAATGACAGTTTCACTGCACGTTCTCTATCTTTCAACAGTCGTTCTTGCTTCCCTCGTGCTATGTATCCTTTGATCATACCAGTTAGATAAGCATAGGTCTTCTCAGGATGCCCTTCATCAAAGGTTTTGTATCGGTTGATATCGAAGGCCATAAGCTTTGAATGTTCAATCTTCCGGAACAATGTGTCACGCAGGGAATTGTTGGAAGGCAGATCATCATGTTTCATATTGTATACGATGTCAAGCCACTTGTTGTAGGATGCCTCAAGTTGATCATCTCCATAGTAGTTGAACATATACAAATGATGGGCATTGTAGAGAACTTCAGTGTGATCAGGTGACTTGAAGCTAATCAATATCATTGCAAATAGTTCTCGTCCCTTGATGAAGTCCCCACTTCTCCCATACAATTGATTCTTCATGGACATGTCATACTTCACTTGCATGGACTTGTCCCCAGCATTGTCAATGACTTTTCTCAAGGCATTGGAGAGCTTGGCATCAATGGATTGGAATCTCACATCAGGAGCTTTGGCCAGAACCTCCAAGTCAGGTTGATCTGCAAGACACGGAGCTAGCCACGCTTTCCAATCTTCATAGTTTCGATCTCCACTTGCAACGCAAACTTCATGAACAACACTTCCCTTCCAGGATGAAAGTTCAGTGGTCTTAGGCCAGGGTTGGAGGCTGATCTTTTCGGCTTCTCTTAGAGATACGGATGACTTGGATCTATCCCTTTCGAGGTTCTCCAACTCCTTGACATTGGTGTTGTACTCGTTCCTGAGCTTCTCGAAGGCTTCAGCTTCTGCTCGGTATTCCTGCTCTTCATCATTGGCACGATCTTCAGCTTGAGAGAAATTGTTCTTGTAATAATCTTTCCGATCTTCCATCTTCTTCAACTCATCTTGAAGATTTCGAATTTCATTGTACCTCTCTTGCTTCATCTCGTCCAACTCTGCTTTCAGTTTGGCACACTTCTCTTCACATTCATTCCGAGGCATAGCATTACTGGGGTACCCATGTAATGTAGTCGGCCTATTCTTTGATGAAGAAGAATGAGCTTGATTTTCCAACTTCAGGGCAGCAATAGTGCTCGACATCTCTTCTACCTCAGCGAAACGCTCATTGACCAATTGATGCATCTCAGTCAAATGGCTTTCAGGAATGGAGTAGTCAGTCGCACCTTTGATCACGAGTCTTCTGTCGTTCAACATCTTGATGGACTTACCTGCATTCCTGTGAGCACGCTCAAGAGAGTCCTTTTGGGCTTCAAGTTCAGTATGAAGGCGAGCAATAGCTGTATCCCTGTCGTTGAGTTCATTGTGCAAACTGTCAAACAAGGTACTCGTCACATTCGGATTGTTGCTCATGTGATCGATCTTGTTCAGAGCATCTTGATACTTCTTACCAGTTTCATCAAAGTTTCGCTGGAAGACTTTGAGCAGGTCCTCAGTGTCAATGAGTTCAGATTTGTTCTGCAAGTACAACTTGTCAACTTCAGCCTTGGATTCCTTCAAGCTGTCACGTTCACGCACGGCTTGCATGTACATCTCGTATAGAGGTCCTCCATGCGGTGATCTGCTTGGTGAGGATCTTCTGGCTTGTTGACAGGAAAGTTCATGATACTGATTCTTCGATTCAGTCAGTTGTTGTTGCATTCGATCTAAAAGACTTTGTTTCATGTGTAATTCAGAACGTAGTCCCATTATCCTCATGTCCCGCATGCCACCTGATTCAGCTAGAGATTCTTCAGAAACCCTGTTCTCAGAAATCGCTAGTCGAGATTGTAAGTTCTCACTGTGGATCACCTGTAATCGAAGCTGTGATTCTTCCAAAGCTAAGTGATGTTCACATTCTGCATAACGGTCATGTTCAGATCTTATGTTATTACGGAACTCCTTCATGATCTCGACCCTCTTCATGTCAGCAGCATCGAGCTCAGTTTCCAGTCTTCTAACATTCATGGCCATGGTGTGCTTCATTGTCTGGTTTTGATTGGCAACCTCGAGCATCTCGATCTGTAAAGCACATGTTTGGTCATTAGCGTAGCCGACTGCTAGAGCTTCTTGCTTGGCATTCATCTCTGCGTTTTCCAGTTCCAGTCTGAGTTGATTGATTTGAGCATTCGCATCAGCGCCCACATGTACCATAATTGCGTTTGCTTGTCCCATTTGTTCATCGAATTCCGAACGTAGTCGTGAATATTTGAATTCCAAATGAGATGCAGCTTCATTCGACATAGTCTGATACCTTTCCAACTCCTCGATCCTGTATGTCGCACCTTCGTCTTCTTGTTGTGCAGCCTGTAACTCGAAGTTCAGCATCTGGAGTTGTTCGGTCATCGACATCATCTCTTGATGAGTGGTGCTTTCCAGGAAATTAAATTGTTGATAGGCATATGCTGTCGTCTCGCTCAATCTTGCCTGAAGTACGGATTCTTCTTCAGTGGCCCTTTCCAGTGATGTCTTGTATTCAGATAATTCACTCTGATAGGCAGTGAAGATGTCGCTACCACTTGACGGGGCGTTTACTTGCTGATAAGATCCTGTCCCTGATGGAGTAGCGTCCTGAATCGGTGAAGGCGGATTCGACGACGTAGTCTTTGCCTTAGTCCTTGGAGTCATCGGAGGCGACAATTGTCGTGCAGATGATCTTCTCTTTCCAGGTGTGCTGTCCCTATCTTCAATTGCTTGCATTGTCGAAATTTGTCTCCCTCTAGGAGCAACCAGAGGTCGCCTGGGTTGGCTTGTTCTCAATTCTGAGGCATCGCTTCCACCAGTGTCGATACTCTGTGAAGAATTTGACTGTGTGCCGGCAGCTGGTGCAACGGCATGTCCAGAGAAAGAAAATGCATTATCGCTGCTATCCTGTTCAGTCATCTGTAAGGCCCGCGGCTACCCGCTCGTAGGCTCCGTAGGAGTCCTACGGCTGATAACCTGAGAATCGGGGATTGTTGGCCCGATTATGTTCCTGTAATTGATGTTGATACTTGCTGTTGCAGTGACGACTTCACGAAGGCGGCAGCTTCCGCATGGCTTTCATTTTCCCTGTAGCTGCAGTATGTCTTGAGCCAAAGAGGCCAATGTTGGAGTGCCCCTTTGACGTTGGATCCTAGAGTGTATGATTATGCATGTATACAGTGATCCGTAGCCTACACTCTATTCGCATAGATGGATAGATGGATAGATGGATAGATGGATAGATGGATAGATGGATAGATAGATAGACAGACAGATAGACAGATAGATAGATGGATAGATGGATAGATAGATACATAGATTAGGTAGGTAGGTAGATAGATAGATAGATGGATAGATGGATAGATGGATAGATGGATGGATGGATGGATGGATAGATAGATAGATAGATAGACCGACAGACAGATAGACAGATAGACAGATAGACAGATAGGTAGATAGATAGACAGATAGATACATAGATAAGATAGATAAGATAGATTAGATAGATTAGATAGATTAGATAGATTAGATAGATTAGATAGATTAGATAGATTAGATAGATTAGATAGATTAGATAGATTAGATAGATAGATTAGATAGCTAAGATAGCTAAGGTAGCTAAGGTAGCTAAGGTAGCTAAGGTAGCTAAGGCAGATAAGATAGATAAGATAGACAAGATAGACAAGATAGATAAGATAGATACGATAGATTAGATAGATTAGATAGATTAGATAGATTAGATAGATTAAATAGATTAGATAGATTAGATAGCTAAGATAGCTAAGATAGCTAAGATAGCTAAAATAGCTAAGATAGCTAAGGTAGCTAAGGCAGATAAGATAGACAAGATAGACAAGATAGATAAGATAGATAAGATGGATAAGATAGATAAGATAGATAAGAAAGATAAGAAAGATAAGAAAGAAAGAAAGAAAGAAGGAAAGAAAGATAGATAGAAAGATAGAAAGATAGAAAGATAGGTAGATAGGTAGATAGATAGATAGATAGGTAAGATATGATAAGATAAGATTAGATTAGATTAGACAGATAGATAGATGGATAGACAGATAGCTGGATAGTTAGGTAGATAGATAGATAGATAAGATAGATAAGATAGAAAAGATAGATAAGATATATAAGAAAGATAAGAAAGAAAGAAAGAAAGAGAGATAGATAGAAAGGTAGAAAGATAGGTAGATAGGTAGATAGGCAGATAGGTAAGATATGATAAGATAAGATAAGATAAGATTAGATAGATAGATAGATAGACAGATAGCTGGATAGATAGCTAGATAGATAGATAGATAGGTAAATAGGTAGATAGATAGATACATAGATACAAAGATACAAAGATACATAGATAGATAGGTAGATAGGTAGATAGGCAGATAGGCAGATAGACAGATAGACAGATAGACAGACAAATAGATAGACAGATGGATGGATAGATGGATAGATGGATAGATGGATAGATGGATAGATGGATAGATGGATGGATGGATAGATGGATAGATGGATAGATGTATAGATGGATAGATGGATAGATGGATAGATGGATAGATGGATAGATGGATAGATGGATAGATGGATAGATGGATGGATGGATGGATAGATGGATGGATGGATGGATGGATAGATAGATAGATATACGTATAGATAGATAGATAGACAGACAGACAGACAGATAGATAGATAGATGGGTAGATAGGTAGATAGGTACAAGCATGTGATATGCGTGAAAGATTCATTTGCACATGTAAAGATGATGCATATATGCTTGCGCACAGCACAGCATCCCTGGGCAGGGCTCTCGTAGCCATCCGCATCCTTGATGATGGCAACAGCTAGCGTTCCCTCTTTTTGGTCCTGGGGGTATGGCAGCATTAGCATGCATTAGCTGTATTCAGGATCACCCTGTCACTTTTGTTCAGCTGCATTCTGATCAAACATGAAAATCCGCAAGCAAGTTGTTCTACAAAGAGACTGTGGGCCATTTGCATATACTCGAGTTTGGGTGCCCCTAAACGCTCAAATTGGGAACAACGATGTGTGTGTGTGTGTGTTTTGCACCTGGAAAACCTGTGTGTATATATATATATAGAAGCAGAAGCTTTCTTGCACGAAGGAAAACTCGAGAAACACAGAAACATAGTCACAATCCATATGATCAACGCAATGTGTTGGGATGACATGCGGCTTGAAAAGGGAAGCTGTGAACCAATATGTGTTGATCGTTGGGGGAAGAATTAAAAACAGATAGAAACACACCAGCTGCCTGCTGACAGCATCGCTTTTCTGTAGCGTAAATGAACGAATGAAAGAACAAATTAACAAGAAAAATACGGACATAATATTCTAGAGTAGATACATCAAAATACAAATAGTATTGAAAACTTAAACCACGATCCAAAAAAATATTCCAAACAAACACTCAAACAGTATTCAAGTATATCAATGTATATCAAGATTCAAAGAACTTCATGCAGGACGTCTGTCGCGTCTGTGGCCCCCTGACCTCAGGAGGCTTCACGGGATTCTGTCTGAGGTTTTTGAGCTGCACCTGGCCGCTTTTCCAGTGAGGCGCATCCCTTTGTTCAGGACTGGTTCAAGACGATTGGCTACATGTACCACAAATATGCGTTCATAATATACGGCAATTTACTAGACGTGAAGATATAAATACATATGTATATATATATACAGAGATAGATACATAGATAATCATAGATATGTGTGTGGGTGTGTGACTTCCAATTTGGGCGTCGCATCTGTTTCAAAAGGTGACTTGCATTTTCTTTCCACTTTTGATCAAGTTTCAAGCCTCTGGAAAAAACACCTGAGGAACATAACCCTTTTTTTCACTTCAAAATTTAAATTGAGCGTCACATGTGTTGCCGTTCCTGTGGTTTCCGTGTGCTCTGGCATTCTGTTGATCAGTAGTTGCTGTCGCGCGTTCCTGTGGCAGCTCTAATAATCTCATTTTCATCCGTATTTAGTTTGGGCAGTTGCTGCCACGTTTTCCTGTCTTTTCTTGCGCATGCATGTGTTGGGGCTTCACATGCGTTGCCGTTTCCTGTAGTTTCCATGTGCTATTGCCCGTTAAACTCTTGGTAGTTGCTGTCACGCTTTCCTGTGGCTGCGCTATCTTCCGACTTTTCATCCCTCAAAGGTTTCAATTTTTCAAACAGAGCGCTGCTTCCGCTGTAAACTAGACGACGGATGGCCCAAGCGCGTAGAGGATCAACGTTACTCAGGTGAGGAGGAAAATTTTGATGATTAGAAAAATGTTCGGAATGGGAGCAAAGAAATGGAATTGCACAAGAGAAGATGTATGAAACAGGCAATGTGGTATAAAAATGTAGATAGACAAAGAAGAGATCGAGAAGATGTAAGAAATAACGTGTAAAGCAAACGCGTTTACACAGACATGTTTATGCACAAAAACATTCTACACACAAACGCTTTGACACACAGTCGCTTTGACAGAGGCGCACACACACACACCGCGCTTTTATACACAGGCCCTTTCACACACCCAGACGTAAGATGTGAAGATGTAAGATGCGCAGGCGTAAGATGTGAAGATGCAAGGTGTGCAGACGTAAGATGAGAAGATGTATAATCTCAGCTCCTTTTTCAAACAGAACCCTACATAACCCCAAACCCAGGCGCTCTCGGAAAAACATCTGGCGACGACAACGTTCTTCCTGCGACATACGGCCTTCCTGTGTGAGCCAATCCCTGTTTCAAAGGGTGACTTGCGTTTTCTCTTCGATTTTACCTAAGTTTCACAACAGGGGCAGGGGGACTGCCTGACTTGTAACAATGGCAGTCCAACGAAGAGGCTGTTACAAGTCGCTGATATGGATTCCGGACGCAGAATCCACGTACCAGTACTTGTTCTGACATGTCTATTTTCTTTTTTTTCAATTCTGTATCATGGCAAGGTGGCCAAGCCACAAAACCACCCGTGTTGCTCACGGCAAAACAAAGCCTTCATGGGAATTTTCCCATAGCTCAACCGAGTTATCAATCAAACCATCGACGACTTGCGGCTTGCGGTCTTTCAAGTGCGTGTTCATACGTGTATATATATATATTACTAGATATGCGTATCATTGCGTATCTAGAGTCTCTAGACATTGTATATACATGATATTATATGCGTGTACGTATATTATATTATACATATAGATATAGATATGCGCGTGCATTGCATTTTAATAGTTATGCATATATTATATATATACACCTGTGTGTGTGTGTCCATCCTCCTTTCGGCACTCATGGCCACTCTCAGCACCTCCGGTGGTGGTGAGCACGTCATGGGTGGCAAGCCCCGCATGCGGCGCAAAGCTGGCAGCTCATTGAACTCCTTATGCTGATATCCGGGGGCCATCTGAGAAAACCTGGAACTGGAAACCGCTCAAAAAAATCTAAACAGAAAAGATGATGGAAAAAATATCATCAAACATGACGAAATGTGGATTTAGATAAGGTGTTCTGCGGGTTCATTTCACATGCGCACCGTTTCCTTGAACATATCGGTCAAAAGCAGTGTGTTAGGCGGAAATGTAAACCACCTGAGCCTCCAAACAAGCCTACTGTAGAACATCCTCACAGTTCTCAAGACTTCAAATCCCCGAATCCGCAACACTACGTTTATCTGTCAGCTTCACACAGGGGTAGCTAACTTGGGAATCTGATAAGGGCAACCATTAAAGGAATGCTGCGTCAAGCCACGCGAATGTGATGGAGGATGCTGCCACCGCTCTTTCCATCCAGCATTCCTAACGCTCAGGTCAGAGTAAACGAAGGCAAAGGGAAGTGAAAGTGAATGTATCTATGTATGTATGTATGTATGTATGTATGTATCTAT